GGGGGGGGGAAGATGACGGGCTGCGCAAGGGTAGTGGTTGGGGGCTCCTCACCAGTGAAGTTCAAGGCATCAAGGCCCCAGCTTAGTACCAACGAGTGAGGGTCGGGGGGTGGCCTGTGCCGTTGGGCTGGGAGCGCACGAGGCCTGGACCTGGCGGAGCACAGCCTCTGCACCCACATCAGCAGGGGCGCTCCGCCCACAACTTCTGCTGCCAAGACTGGAGATGGGCTCTGGGACCTGGAGACCCTTGCTAGCACTGCGTGAGGTCTCTCCGTACCCACGGGAGGGCTGCCCTGGCTGCGGCCTGCCCTGGGGGTATGGGCGATGCCGCCTGGACTCCACTAGCCGCAGGGAGGGAGGGCACAGCCAAAGGTAGGGAGCACAGCCGACCAGCAGGAAGGTGGTGGCAGCAGCAGAGGGCCGGACACCAGAAGGTCTGAGGCCCCATCGGGAAGACTCAAGTCAACTGTCACCTTGTCTGGCTGGCCGGGGACAAGCAATCGCGTCCCAGCCCGGCCGCTGAGCGTGCATTTAGCGCAGCTATCCAGAGAGTCAGAGTAAACCTGGCCACACAGGCCTGACGGGAGCAGCCCTTGCTGTCCTGCCCACTAATGCCCAGAGCGCAGCTGCCTTTCCCCGACTGTGCAGGTGGCGGGCGCCGCAGCAGCCAATGTGCCCAACTCCATTCTGCCACTCGACCTGCAGACTGGGGGCACCACAAGCGAGTGGACGTCTGCTGGGCCCTGGGCCTCTCCAGCTGGCTTCTGATGGAAGGTTCGGCCACAGGACCAGAGGTCGTTCAGTTTGAAGACAACAGCAACTCACCTGGCTGGCTTTGGAAGACAGGTGACAGACCGCCTTCATTTTGCCTCCTGGACCTGCCCTTTCCAGCTCACCCACAGCCACTGCCGCCACCTCCAGCCTACCGGCCGTTCCCAGGAGCCTGTCCCAAGGCCATCAGGGGCTGGGAAGACTGGCCTTTGAGTCAATCTTAGTCCCCTGGCCTCTAGCCTATGGTCCTTGGTCTAAAGACTGGCAGTTAAGACCTAGAGGGTTGAGCCAAGTGCTAAAAGTTTTTGTTTTGTTTTTTCTCCAAAAAAATGTCTTCTATTAAAAAATGGTTTCTGATGTGTCTGCTCTTGGCTCTCTGGAGGCATCTTGTCTGCTGGGGCCTAGGGGTCTGCAGCCAGGCCGGGCTCTCTGCAGAGCGGGTGGTGCAGGCCCGGGCTGCGTCTTCGAGGCTGCAGGAGCCTGTGGGGTGGCTATGATTCCGCAGCATGTGGCTCCACGCTGGTTCAGCTTGGCAGAAGCAAACACAACGGGGGAGGAAAGGGTTAACAAACGGGGCTGCACCAGGTGGTGGAGGAGGCCCTACAAGGAGACAGGAAGCAGAAGAGAAGCCCGCACAGCCTCCCGCATGCCCTGGGTGGGCCGGCTCAGGACGTCTTGGAAGGCAGGCACTCGGTGGACCAGGCAGACTGAGGGGCCCCTGCGTTCTCCACTTGGGTGTCAACTCTAGCTTGCTGGCTGTCCTACTGGGCTCTCGCATGCACTGCGTCCTACTTGAATCGTTTCTTTCTTGTCTCCTGGCAACTAGGCTGCCATGCCCATGCGGGAGAGCCGAGGGCTGCTTCAGACTCAACTCCGAGATCCTGGCCCAAGCCCGACAGCAGACTGCATGGCCTCTCCTCGCAGAGGTGCCGGGAGGCCAAGGGAGGTGACAGGGGAGGGACTGCAAGAAGGCCGCCTACATCTGAGCCTGCACCGTGGGTGAGCGCCATGGAGGTGTGCAGGGCAGCGGAGGCCCTCAGTCCAGGGCCCTGTCCTAGAGCAGCTCCACGCTGAGGGGGATGAGGGGCGCAGGCTGCAGGCTTCCTCCTCAGGGAGCCAGGCTCCAAGCCTTGTGACTCACTGCTGGCAACATGAGGGAGGCACAGCGTGCCACCCTTCCCCGGAACGGAAGCCCATTAGGGACGAGCAGTCTGGGGTGGTGCAGCCTGGGGTGCTTCAGAGGCTCAGAGCCCCCTTCTTTGGAGTCAGGTAGGCGCCCAAGGGTCTGGCACGAATCTTGGACCCACATAGAAAGCAGTCTGGCCCTGGGGCCTCCCAGGGCCCTGACCATGCCAGGGGCCAGCACCTTGGAGCAGAGGGGCGGGGGCGGGGCTGCAGTTGGTTGGCTGTGGCAGGCACAGGGCACAGGGGGTCTGGCACTGGGCGATCACAGTGGTTGGTTGTGTCAGGAAGGTGAGTGGTGTTTGGCGGCCGCTGGGCTGGTGCAGAAACACCCCACCCCCTTCACAGTGCCCACCTCCAAGGCAGCGCATCCCCAGACTGTCCTCAGCGCGAGGCGGCGGCAGACTCACAGTGCGCGGTGGTGTTAGGGACGCGAGCTGGCTGTTAGGGCACAGTGTCGGGGCGTGGCCCGCAGCAGCAGGAGAGTGGCGCACGGCAGAAAGCCCGATGGCAAAGGCACAGTGAGACTAGTGGAGACAGGGTGGGGGCTAGAAGATAGTGGTCTCATACTTGGTGCTGAGGCTCCGCTTAGAGTCTGGTTTGGGGTCCACCACCCAGGAGACACTGGCATGAGACGGGGCATCTTGATCCATATCAGGCGGATCCAGCTGCCAAACAAGGAGAAAGGGCAGAGTCAGGGCTCCGCACAGGGCCAGGAGACCAGCAGGGCCCAGCGTGCCCACTGCCCAGGGGCCCTCAGTCTCACAGCAGAGTCCACCCACCAGGTGGAAGGGCCCCACCGGGGACAAGGCCTTCTCCCGAGGAGTTCTTGAAACCCGTCCATGGGGCTGCGGGGATGGCAGCCTCCATGCTGCTCAGGAACCCCTGCGGGGCCACAGCAGCACCCCCGGACCGCCGACGAGAGGACACACGGCAGACACAAAGAGGACTGACGCACAGACAGGGTGCGCAGGAAGAAGACAGATGCACAGAGGCCAGAGAGGGTGAGGCCACTCAGCCACAGAGCTCACAGTCAGTGGGGGACTGACACACAGACAGCAAGAGGCGTAGAGACCTTGACTCCAGAACTAACAGACGGCAGCGGGAGGTAGGCAGGACGATGGGTGGTGCAGGTGTGACAGTAACAACAGCGACTGTCAGGGGGCAGCGGCACCTGGGGTGCAGAGCAAAGCAGACACAGACATGGGGATGGCGTTACGAGGAGGGCCACGCTCCGGCAGCACCATGGTGGCCTAGCCCTGGGCTGAGCGCAGAGGGAGGGCAGGGCTGCTCCGCACCGCCGACAGTAGCCACTCCTGGGGGCCAGCTGTCTGCCGGTGTGAGCAGACCCTCCGGTGCCCAGCTCCCTGCCCTGGCCTTCAGAGCCCAGACCCGGGGTGGGGTGGGGTGGGGTGGGGTGGGCTGGGGGCGCGGGGGCGCTGCACGTACTGCGGACTTCCGCATGCCGACCCGAGGCTTGGGCACGGGTTTGGAGGACTTCGTCTCGATCATCTCGGCTGCAGACGCCCCCACGGGCCTGGACTTCTGGGCCTGCAGGGCCAGCTGATAGGCCACCTCAAACGCCTGCCCCAGCGTCAGGATGATCTCGTACGTCAGATTCTGCGGACACAGCACAGCTCTAGCGGGTGGGCTGGGGGGTGGGGTATGCTCCGACGTGCGCCTCTAACCCTGTCTCATGGCCGCACCCGCACCCGGGACTGAGAGCACAGTGGATTCTGCTGGAACCATGGTTTTAAAAGCAGAGCAGGGCCCACGGCTGACGTCTCCTCACGCCTGGGCTAACACTGGGTGATGGCGACAATGGCTCTGCTGGGGCCCAGGGGACAGACGGCACCCGCCACGAGCCACACCCACCCACCCACTGGGAGAGCTTTGGCTGGATTTCAGAGCCCTCCCCATCACTTCCTGGGGGCAAACAAGCTGTAGCCCTTCCCTCGGCTTCTCCGGCTCTGTACCCCCACGCCCCTTTCTCTCCTCCCACTTCCTGCCAGTCTGAGTATCTCCTCTGTTTGTGCTCTCTGCGCAGTGCGCGTCCCCTCCCGCACCCCAACCCGGTGGAGTGGTCCCTCTCTCAGGGACAAGGTGGTGGACTTCAGGCCTGTCACCTCCAGGGAGAGTGCCATGTGTACTGCCATATTTCTGAACTTTCTAACCATTTAACATGAAGAAAGCGGTGCTTTAAAAACATTAGGTACCTACGTCTTGTAACTGTGTACACAGCCTGGGAATTCTAGACCCTCATGCGCGCGGCTCCATTTAATTTTCAAAGCAACCCAGGAATGAATTAGAAACCCACTACTCTTCAGCCACGTCTGAACGCCAGTGACCCTACAGGGAGAGCAGAACTGCTCCATCAGCCTTCGGAGACTGGAGGTCTTTGCAGAGGCAGACAGCCTCATCTTTCTCGTAGGTAGCAACGAGTGGGTTTGGACCACGGCCTTTCAGTTGGCAGCCCAGTATTCTAGGCTCTCTTTTACGGTTGAGGGGTCCCGGGATGCATGAGGCCCCAGGGGTGTGGAGAGGCCCAGAGTTGTCTGTGCCCTGGGAGCCACTGAGTCTCAGGAAAGAGCTATTCCCTCTGAGGGCAGCAGGGACCTGGACAAAACTCCCGCGGTGAAGGGCAGCCTCTAGGCCACCACTGGGCCTTGTCTCGGCAGAGGCGGTCCCACCCCTGGGAACCTGCTTGGCCCATGGCATCCAGAACTTAACTTGAGCAAAACCCCCGGGAGAAAGCCTACTGCCAAGAAAGTCTGCTTCTTGGGCCTTTTAGGAGACTGCTGGGGGGGCTGGTGGCGCAGTGGTGGCTGCTAGTAAGGTCGGTGATTTAAACCCACCAGCCCCCCCACAGGAGGAGGCGGCTTTCTGCTCCTGTCAAGACTTACAAGCTCGGAAAACCCACAGGGGCCGTTCTCGCCTGCCCACAGGGTTGTGAGCCTCAGAATGGACTCTTGTGTCTTTCTTAGGCCAAGAGGAAGACTCTCGAGGAGATGGATTGATAACAGTGTGCTCAAACTTCACACCTGTGAGGACGGTGCAGGGCCCAGCTGTGTTTGCTACCAGTCCGAGCCAACTTGACAGCACCCACCCACCATCACCCGGATTTCAGAGCTGGGGTGGCAGGGGGGCGGAGGCGTGGGACGGGCGTGTCCTGACCTAGACAGAGCTGGATGAGAAGCTGGGGAAAGATGCTCAGTGTTCAGAACCCCTCCCCCGGTGCCTTAGCCCCCTCACTATGTGCAGGGGAATGAGACCAGGTGGTCGGTCCTAAGGTCTCACCACTAAATGGCAGCCCAGAGCCAGGCACCTTTACATGGAGCCCACCCCGTGTGTGGCCAGCCCACCCACCCGTGAACCCCCAGGGCCTACAGCCTCCCTGCTGCGGCGAGAAGGGGCCCACCCACCACATCCACGGTGCTGAAGACGTGGCAGTAGTGGTGGCTGGTCTGCAGGTCCTTGGTAATGTAGGCAAAGGTACAGAGGTCCTCTGGGTCCTGGGCTGCACAGGAAATGTTCCGGATCTCATGCTCCGCAATGACGTTCTGAGGGGAAAAGTGGCCCCGGGACTGACTCTGGCTCCCCAGTCCGCCTCTGACACCATGCCTCAGCCTGGCACTCTCCCTTCTCGGTCCCAGCCCAGAGCGAGGAGCGCCCCCCGCCACTGCCTTCCCACTGTGTGTGCTCTCGGGCATGGGCTGGGGCAGGGTGCAACTTCACTTGATTTAAGTTTGGAGTCCACGCCTTTGACCGGGTCAGCTGAGGGCATGACAAGAGCATCTACCCATCAGGCTCTGCAGGCCCTGCCACCTTCCAGCAGCTTTGTGTGGAAGGTGGGGGCTGTGAGGAGGGGCAACAGCAGCAGTTTGAGGAAGGAGTCCTGCTCAGGGAGGGGACTGTGCCCTCACAGGCCTGTGGGTGGGTGGGCGCTCAGCAGGTCCCCACTGTGGGGAAAGAGCAGCTACTGGGGGCTAGGGCAGGCCGGGCCCAGGGATATGGGCAGCGGGGCTGGGTCAGAGACGAGTCCTGGCTAGGTGGTGGGAGTGGGGGATATGTGTGTGTGTCAGTGGGAGGGAAGACACCACAGGAATGCAGAAAGGGCATCAGGGTTACTTGCCCCCAGCCCCCCAGGTTCTGATGGGAAGAAGGGTGCCACTCCCCCAACAGTCCTTGTGAGAGCCCTACCTTGTTAGAGGCGTCGATGAACTTGACCCCTTTGTAGGTGATGGACAGGATAATGGTGGGGATCTTCTTCATGTGCTCGGTGGATTTCTGCAAAAATGGGGCCCTGTGAGCACCCCTTCTCAGGGTGAAGCCCACCCTGATCCCATAGCTTCACCACCTCCCACCCCACGCAGAGGGCTGCGGGCGCCCGGTGTTCTCACAAGCTGTCTCTGTCCTCCGGCCCTGCACCCCGCCCCCCCATCACAGATCACCTACCCGCATCTTGGCGCAGGCGTCTTGCGTGGACTCCGTCCCTCGCAGATCTTTGATCAGCATGGAGCCCAGATACTGCGGGTGACAGACCGCGACCACCTGTGGGCTTCCCTCCTGGGAGCAGCCTTTTCCCCTGGCCTGACTGGCAGGGCCCGGTCTCCTCTGGTCCCCACCCTCCCCAAGAGCTGCCAGGGGCGTGTGACGAGAGCGGCCCCCAAGCCTGGGTTGGTGTGTGGAGGCCTGTGGCCAGTGGGCTGCGGGGAGCCGGCCAGGCGGGCTGGGCCGGGAGGCAGGGCTACTCACATTGGCTTCATAGCCGCAGGACTCGAAGATGAGCTTCTCAGGCTGGTGCTGCCAGCTCTGCACGGGGGCGTAGGGGGCAGCCAGGCTCGGGGGGCGGAGGGTCAGCTTGGCCTCATGGTGCTCCTCCTGTGGAGCACAGCCATGCGTCAGAGCCTGGTGGTCCTCTGCAGAGGGCTTTCTGGCGGTGCAGTGCGGTGCAGAGTGGGGTGGGGTGGGGTGCCGTGGGGTGGTGGAGGCAGCGCCACCGAGGAGTTCAAGGGCTGGGTTGGGTGGGAGGGCAGGGAGGCAGACACGCAGTTTAAAGGCAATAGTGTTGCTCTTGACACCAAGCAAAGGGCAGCAATGGCTGAGTGGAGGGGTGGGGACCAGCCCCCAGATGAGGGCTCTGTCCAGCGGGTTCAGGGGGAAAGCGGGGTCTGAGAGGAGTCTTACAGAAGGTGAGAAATGAGCCTATCTGGAATGAGGAAGGAGCAGTGTAAGCAGGGCGGGGAGGGCTGTGAGCACAGGCCAGGCTGCCGCTCAAAGAACTGCGGTGGGACCTCCTGGGTAGGCCTGGGACCCGACCTGTCAGTCAGCATCAGTGACGTGCCCACATCCAGGGCCAGGGCGTCCTCTGGCCATACTGAGGGCAGGGCCAGCGGCCTCAGCTAGGACTCTAGCTGCCTTTCCAGCACTGGGCCGAAACGCTCCATTAGAGCAGCTAAGCCACCAGAGAGCGAGCTCTGCAAATCTTTGGGGGCAGAAGGGAGGGGTGTGAAGGGAGAGGAAGGCTGCAGCTAAGCTCCCTGGAGGCGTGGGGTCACCTAACAGGACCAGAAGGGGGACCTGGTCAAAGCTTGGCGCCTGGGAGGCCTGCAGCACTCCTGGTGAGCAGCGACCTTAGGCGGCTCAGGAAACCTTGGGGCCCAGCTGAGGCTGCTGAGCCGGGGGCTGGCCAGCCTTCTGGAACGTGGAGTCGCTCCAGCTGTGCCCATCGCTGGGCTGCAAAAATGGACAGAAGAACGGAAGCTGGCCTGGGTAGGCGGAGCAGAGGCTGTGGAGCTGGGGCACTGGCTGGAAGGGAGTCGGTTGGGGCAGAACCAGGTAAGACAGAAGGGTCGGCGGCCAGGAGAGGACGGGGGATGGAGAAAACTGGGGTGAGAGAACTCTGTGAGGACTGGGCAGACAAACAAGGGGCCTGAGGGCCGGAGAGGTCAGTGTGTGAAAGCTGGCAAGTCTGGGCCCTGGGCTGGGCGGCAGGGACCCACCTGGATCCTGAAGCGCTCTGCACGCGAGTGCGCCGCCGGGTCATGGAGGCTGTCGTGCCGCCTCCTGCCCGTGTCCCCAAGAGGTAGCAGCAGGTCTGCGGACCGCGCAGTGCAGGAATCATTCTGGCTCAGCGGGGAGGATGTCTGGGAGAGGAGGTCCTGACACTGTGAGGGGAGAGAGCCAGGTGGCCCTTGGAGCCCACTGGCCCAGTCCCAGGCAGCAGGATTGGGGAGATGCGCCCTGCTGGTCCCAACCCAGACCACTAGTCTTCCAGGAGCCCAGAGCCGACACCCTGTCCTGCCAGGGCGGCCACCACGAGCACCACAGTCAGCGCCTGCCTTGGACCACAGCGTCACAATCCATGTGCCAGATCTGATGCTTTGGACAAACCCTAAGCTTTCTTGAGCCCCCTCAGTTTTCACAAGTGAGTGTCAGCCTGGCACTTAGCCCCCAGGACAAGGGTACACTTCAGCTCTCTCCTGTCTGGGGGACAAACCTCCACCCTGTTCAGAGGCCGGTGGAGAAGTGACCAGTGCCCGTCGGGGAGAGCACTCCCCGGAACCGGAACCGCCTGCTCTCTACATGGACCTGTTTCTGCAGTGACCTGGTTCACACAACCAATCACTCAAGGTTTTCACACTGCAGAATCTCTTATCCTCCTCACCTGCCCCCAGAGCTGGGAGGGCTCAGAGTGTCCAAATGCTTAAGTGCTCAGCTGCTTACTGAAAGGTTGGCGGTTCAAACCCACCGGGCAGCTCTCTGAAGGAAGCACTCACCATCTGCTTCCATAACCAGTCGGGCAGCTCTGCTCTGCCTTCAGACTCGGAGGCGGGCCCTCGACAAGAACAGCCCACGCTGGGCATTCCAGGCTGCCGGCCCTCCTGGGCTCCTGCAGTGAGCAGGTGCAGGGCTGAGCCCCACCCCCCAATAGCACCCAGCTGCTTAGGCCTGTGCTGCTGGTACTTTTATTTTCCTACGCCTTCTAAGGTTTTCTTTTCCACTTCAATTTATACTGGCGTTTCTCCTATAGACCATCTCCTGTTCCTGGGACGAGATGGAAGCCAGAGAACTCATAAATGGCCAGCCCCAAACTCGCCCCTCCTGGGTGGCTTGTGAAGCCCTGCTGTGGGGCCCGGGTGGGCTCACTTTCTCCCGCTGCCTCTCAAGAGGGCTCGTAACTCCTGCCAGGAGGAAACAGACTCACTCTCAGCTGGGAAAACCGCGGCGGCTTCTGAGGGGGCTCCTCGTAGGGCCTCTCTGCAAGGGAGGCGATGATGCGCTTGCGATGGCCGAGCAGGTGGACCTTCAGGACCTGGGTGTGCACAGGGCAGGGCGGGGAGCGGTGGTCAGCAGCTGGCCGGGCCCCAGGTCTGCCTCAGCCACCAGGCTATCAACCCAAAGGCCCCGGCAGGGTCTGCAGGGCTGCACTCACGTTGACAAGCTCCAGCTCCCAGAGGTTCTTCACAGTGTCCACTGAGCTGTAGCCGCTGGACAGGAAGGAGTGCACGTAGTCCTGCAGCCCCAGGGAGTCCAACCAGGATGGCAGAGACGGGGGACTGCTCCCGTCAGAGCCCAGCGCCTTCACCTGGGCCAGGAGGGAGACACACTCAGCAACCACTGGCCCGCCCCGCAGAGAGAGGCTGGAGGAGTGGGGTCCCAGCCATGAGGGGTCTGTAGGACCGCCCAGCCCTGCCTTTGAGTGCTCTGGCGGCCAGAGCCCCACAGCCCTCAAGGGCGAGGCAGGGGGAGTGGCCCGCCCTGAGCCCCGATGAGACCAAGGATGTGGGTTGGGAGGAGGGAGGAACATGATGTGTGACTGAGAAGCGGGTGTGGAAAGACACAGAGACCCAGATTCAGTGCCGGCACAGGGGGAGGGGCACTCGGGCACAGCCCCCAGCCCCGGACTCTCAGGAAGGATGGGGCCATGAGGCCTCCAGGGCTGCCTGTCTGTCAGGATGAAGCTTGGGCTATGGGCCCAATGCCCGGAGAGCGGTCAGGGGGAGCCTCATGTCCTCAATGTCAGCGACCCTCTAGCTCAGGGCTCCTCACACTTTTTAAACAGGAGGCCAGTTCACTGTCCCTCAGACCCGTTGGAGGGCTGGAGTACAGTTTAAATAAAAAAAAACTTTGAAAAATTTCCTATGCACATTGCACATATCTTATTTTGAAGTAAAAAAACAAATGAGGCAAAAACACCCGGGGGGCCGGATAAATGTCCTTGGCGGGCTGCAGTTTGAGGACCCCTGCTCTAAAGAGCTTCACGCTTAGCATGGGGAGAAAGATGACTTCATGCTGGCCCTGCTGGACACCCCCTCAATGGTCTATATGTCCGTAAGCATGGTCACTCCGTGAGGAAGAGGGCCCTGGGTCTGGCTAAAGCGCAGTCATCGTACCTTGGGCAGGGACCGTGCAGCCTGGAGCAGTTTCCGCCGGTGCTGTGGGTCACTGATGCCGATCTCCCGCAGGTCCTGCTCTTCCATCACATTCGACCCCTGAGAACACAGAGGAGGACACTGGGACCGCTCCAGAGTGGACAGCTGGTGGCCGGTTGTGTGGCCCTGAGCCACGTTTTTCCCTCCCCCACAGACACCAAGAGGGCTGCACAGTGGCCAGGGGCTCCCCAGAGTCTTGTCAGCAGGTGGCCACGGTGAGGAGGCGACCTCCCACTGAGTGGCTCTCACTGTGCACTCACATGACGAGGGCAGTTCGTGGACCTCACATCACATTCCATCAACCCCAGGGTGAGGAAACTGAGGCATACAGGGCTCGGCAATGTGCCTGAGCCACACTCCTCGTGCCAGAGGCAGGGTCTGAAGACAGGCTCTCTGGTCCACACTCTAGCCCCGGAATGGCATTGTTATTATCCACTGTGAACATGAAAACCCACTGCTGCCGAGAAGAACTGGCCCTGTGGGTTTCGGGGACTGTGAATCTTTCCAGGCGTGGAAAGTCCCCTCTTTCTCTGAGGAGACTCTGGGGGATTGGAACCTCTGCGCTTCTGGTTGGGAGCCAGGTGCTTTAATTGCTGCCCCATCAGGACCCTTTTCGTAACTGCCACCAAACAGGTATTTCCAGATTCCCTTTTAAAACACACAGTCTGGCTGATAATGAAAAACAAAAGAACCGAGTGTCAAAGGTAGACAGCGAACGTCGGTCTCAGCTGCCCCACTTCAGTCACAGAACCTGGCTACCACTCCAGACACAATACTCACACTTCCCCCAGAACCTGTCACCACTCTGTCCTGCATGTCTCCATGTACGTGTAATTCAGAACAGCCCTCCTCACGGGGCAGCTCTGCCACGCCCTGCAGCGTCACTGGGAGCTGGCAGTGCCGCGATGGCAGTGGGTTGGGTCAAGCTCTCTCCAGAAGGAGCTCTGCTGGCGCGGTGGGTCACAAATTGGGCTACACGAAGAGTTATGGTCTTGGAAGCCCCAAGGGGCAGTTGGATTCTGTCCTACGAGTGGGGGGCACGTGGTGGCCGAGAGGCGGTGGGTTTACTGTGTCTAGGAGACGGCGCCCCATCAGTATCTGTAGACCAACTGCCCTTCTCTAAGCTGCATCTTCCCTGGGACACGGCTGTATCTGGACCTCAGGAGTTCCCTGCCATCGCACGCTGGGCTGCGTGAGCTGCTTTGCACGTGCGTCTTTTCTTGGTGACCCAGAAGAGAAAGGTCGTGTCCGAGGCTACGTGCGTTGAGGTTTAGGACAGAAAGACAGTCTTGCTGCCATCAGTGGGGAGTGAGCTGGATTCTGCACACTGCCGGCAGGAAAGGCACGTACGTCATGGCAGCTGTGAGGTGCACGTTTCTTAGGGCACAGTCGCACTTATTGGTGGAATGGAGGATTTTTCTGATCTCATCAAACATTTATACAGCACTAGCTCCTCCTACACTGTATGCCTTCATAGCTTCACATAGAAGCCAATCCACACAGTAATCGGGGCTGTTGTCATCCTCACCTGACAGCCCAGGAGCGGAGGCCCGGAAAGCTTATGTGTCCTCTCCAAAGCCATCCGGACGGTGAGCACGGACCCTGATTCCACCCGGCCGTGCTGCCGGCAGGGCAGGGAACCCTGGAGCTCTTTTCTAGGGATTCTCCACTTACCCTCTGTAGGTTTTCTATGGGCTTTCTGAGTTTTTTTTAAAGTTTTTATAATAAAGCCATAACCCATCAGGAATTTTATTCTGATGCCAGGTTTAAGAGCAAGGATCCAAGTTTACCTTGTTTTCCAGGTAGCAAGGTAGTCATTCCTTGACTGGCCTGTCCTTCCCCTCTCATCGAAAATGCTGCCCCTGGTGTCGCCTAAATTCCTGTATGTTTCCTGGCTTTTCCACTCATCGTGGTGGTGGCTGCTGCCCCAGAGGGCTCCTGCTGAGGCTCTGTGTGGAGACCCTCGTGAAGGGGTGGTGAAGTCAGACGCAGCGCCTGTCTACTGAGGTTGCAGACCACACCCTTTATGCAGTGGAGGGTCCAGGAAACCCAGGTACCGTGTGTCACTCTGACCTAGTGCTGCCACACAGAACTCCCACAAGGCCTCAGGGTCAAAGTCTGGAGTCTGCCGACGAGGAAAGGCACGGAGTGGGGTCTCCACCCAGGCTTTCTACCTGATGAGGAAGGCCCTTAGGGGAGGATGTGAAATGAACCAAATGGTGCACCTCTTCATGCACGCCAAAACATTTACTCATCCGCCTGCATGCACTGTCACGGACACACCGATGCTGGCCCCAAGGCTCACTGAGGACATCAGGTCCATGTGGAGAGGGAGGCCTTCACTGAGCAGGCTCCGGCCTTCTGGATCGAGGGCTGCACACAACTCTGAGAGAAAGAGGCAAACGGGAACCAAACCAAAGGGCCTGATGGACGGCAGAGGGAACTGCTGGCAGCGGGCTCTCCCGCTTCCTCCCTCTGCGGGACTGGTTGGCGTGATGACCACAAGCCCTCAGAGGACAGAAACCCCTCTGGAAGTGGTCAGACATTCTTTATCCAGGGAAAAAAGGGGCCCCTGCCTTTAGAAAGTTTTACGAGACTTCCTCCATCCCCTGCTTTTGTACTAACATTTATGGAGAGCTTGCTACATGCCCAGCTCGGTGCCAAGTCCTTAGTAAGTTGATCATTAGGTAAGGTGACCAGACGTCCCGATTTTTAACAATTTTTCCCGTGTCCCGCAGCATTTTAAAAAAGTCCCGATTTTTGGAAAGAATGCACGACAAGCTAGGGTATACGGTTTTCGGCTACCATGTGGCTATTTCGCCAGGATGTGAGTTTTATCAGTGGTGTCCCGCTCTACCAATGTTAAAGCCTGGTCACATTATCATTAGGGGATTCACGAAGTAAAACCATTCACTAGGTCTGCAAGAGAGCAACCTGGAGGGGCAGGGAGGGCTGGCTGGGGCAGCTTACTGGGCTGCCCAGTAAGGAATCCCCTGGGCATGGGGGATTCCTGCTATTGGGCCGGGCCGGGAAACGGCAAGCCCATCTTGCTGTCGGCGATCAACAACCTCCTTTACAAGGCGGACACTGCTCGGGCCTTACTCTGTCCTTGGGCTGCAACATTTTGTGGGAAAGTCCTATTCCCTTTTAATCCCAGGTTGAAGCCCCGTATTCTTCAGTCTACATGCAGTGATATCTAAGCCTGGGCCTGCCCGCCCCCACTCCCACCCCCTCCCAACACCACAGCAAACGGTGAGTGTCCCCAGAAACTAGCTCTGGGACAAGAAGTGAGCGACACAGATGGTGACGTCATCCTGGAAGATCCGAGACCCCGTCCCTTCTCTCCCCCCAGCAGGGCCGAGGGGAGCTGCCCGCCAAGCTAGGGAGGTGGCGGCCTGGGCTGAATGCCTCTTGGCTGTGCGCTGCGTGGAGGCTGTGACCTGTCAGCGCAGAGAGAAGCGCCATGCTCACAACGACTGTGCTTGAGCTCCTTGCAGCCACTGTGCCCATCTCTTTGAGAGTCTGCCTTTCTTCACTGACCCTCGACTTTTCCAAGCATGGTGTCCTTCTCCAGGGACTGGTCCCTCCTGGTGACAGGCCCAAAGTATATACCTCTGGACCTTGCCACTGGCCACAAGCCAGTGACCTCTCCAGCAGCAGACTTTCAATCAAGCCAAGGGCAATATGCTCAGATGCAAGAGCGGCTCCTGGGCAGAGCAGCACCAACTGGGAGCTCTCGAAGGAGACCTCAGTTCTTCCTTCCTTTCCATATTCAGATGTCAGACGTAAGGAAGTAAGCTGAAACCTCCCCTCCTGGGAAAGGCTCACAATGGGGTCCTTCTCCAGGCAGCCCTCTCTCCTCTCTAGATGGAGGAGGTGCTGAAGCGGGCGAAGGGCGTGTGAGGGGCTCACCCTGGATACACCAGAAAATACTGGAGGGTGCTTTCTCCAAGACGAGGAAGGGAGGGCACGGGGAGGCGGGCGCATGTGAGGCTGGCCAGTGGCACCACGCCCAGTGCGGCTCCCACGAGGGGGGCTGCAGCTCAAGCTGAGTAACAATAAACAGTTCAGCCAGCACAGGCCCACAGGCTCCGTCCCTTCACCACTACCAGCACCTGGAATCTCCCTCCCTAAGGCGTCCCTGGGCACTGCTGGTCCAGTGTGGTATTTCCTCTGTGCGTTCACCAGCCGCTCCCCGGAGAAGGACGAGGCAGCCTGCTTCCATAGAGACCAGCCGCCTGGCAAACCCACAGGGGCAGCGCTCGGCCCCCAAGGCCTCAGAATCGAGTACCTGGCCCTGGGCTTGGTTTGGCTTACTTAGGGGCCTCTCCGAGTGCGGTTGAAGGCTTCCCCCTGCTCACCTTTCTGTCCTGCCCCACACCCCCCAGCCCCCCATGAAAAACTTTGGTTTTGGGTTTTCTCCTGAGTAGAAAAGTTATACAAGTTCATTATAGAAATACTTGTGAGCTACCACGTGGGGGTGGGGGCGCAGTGCTACCATTCTGGTGTATTTCACATTTTTCTTCAACCGGCAACCGCAGGATCATTTTAATCTACTTTTTCCTGAGCTTTAGCTGTTTTTAAACATTAAGCAAAAGTGGAACTACAGTACGCATATACTGTGTTTAACGGCTTTTTCACAGAACCACCCACTGCAAACGTCTCCCCTGCCATTTCGCTGTCTTCATGCACAGTGGCGGTGGCTGCACACCCCGCTGCACGGGGGCCCCATCGTCGAATTCCCGGCTGGGCATTTAGGCGTCCTCCACTCTTCACTAGACAACCCAGCAGGCAATTCTGTGCAGCCCCAGGACATGCTACTTGGCCATCTGGGAGGCAGGTCCCTGATCTAAGTCAAAAGCCAGGCCCTCTCCTGAGGCTGGGGTTGCGACAACCATGTCTGCATCCTGCCAGGTCCTAACCATAGTCCCAGCCTCCCAGCGCTAAGAGCCGGCTGAGAGAGCTAGGGGGCCTCCGACAGAGGGAAGAGGCACCAAGGAGGAGGGGGTGGAGGGGTGGGGGGAGTGAGAAAAGTCTGCGGTAGCCGCAGCGCCCTTGTC